AGCTAAAAATAAAAAAAATTAGTGCCATCAATTCCAGTCGTCTATTACACCCAGTTAAAAGAAATTTCTGAAAATATCAGTAATGTTTTAATTAAAATAATATATATTGATTGAAAATTGAGAGTTTGTGGAGAAAGGAAAGTCGTTGCAATCCACATGGGTCTATAAGTCGATAACACAAAATTTTGCTGTTTCCTCTGCGAATTGAATAGTTGGAATAGAGATTCACACACTATTAAAAAAGGTTAACCCCATTACCATTAGGTATTGCATGGAACCTGGTCAAAAAAAATTTTGCAAGCTTCATTAGTTGTCAAATCAAATTGAGTCTAATGAAGAATTTTGTAAAAATGTTAGATAAGATGAATGATATCTTTACACATCTCCGTTCCATGTTTTTGCGAATCAGCGGTGCTAAAATAAAAGATATGTTTGTGGGTCTTCAGATCCGAAAAGTAATAAGTTATAAACGTTTTCAAGACCTCCTAAATGAAAAAGATTTTTAGACATGGGGAGTGCTCAAATCTTTTGACAATTTCTTGTGAAATAATAAGTATTGTAACTAAAAAAAGGTTGCTAAGATGCCTTCCAATGCATTCCAAAATATGGGATGTAACATTTTTTAAAAAATTCATCTTCTTGATTAACTTTTTGACTTTTCCTTGAATGTCCTGGCAGAGTCAGTGGTGAACATGGAAAGCGTGTAACCAGGAAATCTCTTTAATGGAATCACGCTACCAGGGACGATGAAGTAGGCTAAGCTGGCAGATCACTGCTAGTTGCTGCAACGTGATTGCTGAACGTAATTGCTGCCGCAGAAGTTAAACACTATCAAAATGTTTGCAAAACACTCGAGTCTCTTCCATAAAATTTATATGCAATTTCAATCAACATGTTTTGTTTTAATGAGCAATAACAACATTTTAAAATATTATTTGCTGATCATTTTCAATTATATGACATTTCTTGACTAACAAAAGTCTTGTTAGAATTTTTTGTACTTTAATGACAGTATAACTGTGAGCGATAACTGATGAAAGTGAGCAAAACTTCAACTGACGTTTTCTCAAAAATTTGATGTGATACGATAGAAATTGATTACAGATTTGAAATCAGCGTTCTAAAATTAACCAGAAACACGTCCACTTACTAAAAAAAGTAAAAAATTTTTTTGTACGTCAGTGTAATTATCGAAACCAATCGACATCGGTACTAAATCTGCATTTGCTTTTTTGTTTTTTTTTTAATTTTATCAATGACTTTTTAAGTTTAATTTAGATTTTAAAGCACGCTTGCGCTATTAAAAATCATTTAAATAACGCTTTATGAATTTTAAGTGATTGCTTTTTTCATCGATTTATTCAATTGCAGTATGCTAGCTTGTTTAACGATTTATTACATAATCAAAATATCAATATTAAAGGAAGAATTTGTCAGCATCAAAACTTTTGGAAATGAGCACATTGGAATAAATGTAGAAGGCAGTTCACAGCAAGGATTTTTTGTTAAAGAAATTGAACACAACAGCGTAGCAGAAGCATCCGGAAAAATAGAAACCGGTTGGTTTATCATCGGTGAAAACTTTACATAAAGCATTACATTTTGTTGATTAAATATCATCATCTACTATCATTTCGTCTACTTCATTTTGTCTAACGTTCATATCATCTAAATTTATTTAATCCTAGTTCATGTTGTTTAAACCTATTTACTTTAATGTTTATTTCATCAAATGTTCATTTTGATTTCAGTCTGTTGTGAAAGTATTTCAAACATTACAAATATATTATTAGTTTTAACATCATTCAACTTAAAAAATATAGTTGAAAAATTGTAAAAACACATTTCACATCAAGCTACAATTAAGCGAAATAAGTTAAATGCCCATAAACAAAATGATGTTTGACGAAATGACCATCAGACCAAATTTGATGAAATAAATTTAGACAAAATGAATTAGACATAACATATTTAGACATTATCATCGGTCACAATTTGGAAACGTAGACACTCCCAACATGTAAATATTTTAAATCTTGAAAATTATTAAAAACACCAATGTAAAAAAAGAGTCGTAAATAAATATGTTTGTTTTGAAAAATAATACAATTTTGTTCATTGAAATCAATTAATTAATGAGCCAATCAATCGACCAATGATCCTCTCGAACATTTTCAATTTTTCTCCAATCAATCATTTGCTCAAATATAAAAAGTCATATAAAAAATATAAAATGTAACGTAAACGTAACGCGGAAAATGGGCGCAGGCATATGCCTCTAAGCTCACTTTTGCACAAGTAAATGAGTATTCATTATTAAACATTAACCGAACAAATCCCAACTAAAAAAAATAAAACATTCAACATTCAATTTCGATCAAACATTCAACAAGTTTATCAATTTCAGGCTAAAATGATTCAGGTCGACCGTCAACAATTATATGTATATCGTCAACATACGCAAGACCAACGAGTCCATGCGAGTTTATTGTTTTAGTTATGTCTGATGTGTTCAGCAAAAACAAGACTGGTCTCAATACTTTTCCCTGAGGTACGCCTGTCGTTGCCCTTTTTACCCTCGATAAAACATTTTTGAACAAAACTTATTGGTTGAGTACGATCCGTTAAATATGATTCAAACCATGTAAGGGCTGCTCCTGATACTCCAAAATAACATCGCAATTTTTTTAAAAGTCTACTGTGGTTGACACAATTAAATGCAGAAGAAAGGACAGTATCGATATCTTCCAATCATCCATGGCCGCAAATAGGTTTGACAAAACATATAGCAATACTGTTTCAATCGAATGATTGATTACTTGGCATTAGTTATTTATCGTTGATGCTTCATCAGACAATCTACAACCATACGCTCTATGACTTTTGGATGAAAAAAAGGTTCGATATCGGCCTATAATGGCCCACATTATTAGTATCTAACTTAACTTTTTTTAAAAATTGGTTGAACAATTGCTTATTTGCAATTTGATGGAAATTTACCAACACGTAAACACAAGTTAATGAAACTCGTCAGGAAACGTATAAATGAATTCAGATATTTTTTAATACATGCGTAGAGAGGATTTCCAGGCTGCAAGTTTTTGTCGGCGATTTTAGTATGACACTTTTTAAATGAGCTTAGTAACCAACGGAAACGAGGCAAACATGCAATCATCCAACTTCGAACGCTCGAACGCTTCGAACGTTGTGGTAGTTAATATTTTCACTGATTGATTTTATTATCCCTGCAATTTTATCATCAAAAACTGCAAAGTTTGGTCATATATATATATATTTTTAATATGCAAATATTTCTTGAACTACAGCTATTTTATCGATTTTTTCGCGCAGTTGTCGCTGGTTATAAGACTGCCTGAATAAACAGGCTGGTCAGAGCGCTCTAGCTTGACATATTCTATTTGCACTGCTCACTTCAATTAGCTTCTGGAAACCATTGCATTGGAAACTAGTAGATTAAAATCAACAACATTACCATCAAACCTGAAATTCTTTCTAGCTCTGCTTCCAATATCTATTCCGCCCGATGACGTTTCCGTTTTTTTATTGCTCGTTCAAATAACGTTATGAACAGTAATGGTAAAAATATATTATCTTTTTGGTTACCAACTCCTGGATTGGTCTAATCTGAGCCTTGGTAAACTTATGGTAAACTTTAAATTTAAACTTTACTTAGATCAATTTGCTGGGTTGTAGTTATGCATCTGAAACATGCCTGCTCTTTACTTACTTAAATGTTATTCTATTAATATTTCTAGTCGTTCTTCTAAGAATGTAAAAATAATCGAAAATTTGTTAGGATTTAGTGCTATTGATCAGTAATTCAATCAATTAAGTTCTTTTTTTGGTAATAACAATTAGGTCAGATTTGCACCATTCCTCTGGCCATTTTCCGTTTAACTGAGATGTCTAATCTAGTTTTTTTTTCTCAAAACAAACAATAACATTTTTCTAGGTAATTTCTCTATATAAATATTTTTTATCTTTTTTAAACTTTTTTAAAGGAAACAAACATTTGTTTGTTGTTAAAATGTAATTTAAATAATTAATGTTGCTCAAATGATTTTTAATCATTTTAATGTTTTTCACTTCCAGGTGATCAACTAACCGGCATTACTGTTGATTTGAACACTCTGAGTCTGGAAGAAGCTCAGAGTTTACTGAAAGTTCTTTCTCCATATCCAGTGAAAATATCTGTCAAAAAGTCACATATAATTGGTGGAGATGATGAAAAACTGAATTTAGGAGAAAAGTTCAATATGGGTGATTCAGGTATAGAAATAAAAGGACCTAAAGTGGAGAACACTCAATTTGAGTTTAAAGGGAAAAAAGCAAAAGGAGGCGCTGGCGTTGATATAGCGTTACCGGAAAGTGACATGCATGACATAACATTATTAAAGATTAAAAAAGATGATTTTGAACAAATAAATTCTAAAAAATATAGAAAAGCAGATATTGACATACAATCACCAACAGGAAACATAACGGTAAACACATCAATGAAGCTTGATGAGACAAAAAAAATTGTGGATTACAACGTATCGTCGTTTCAAACACCAGGAAGCGGATACTTGATAAAACTGCCAAAATTTTCAGACAGAAATAAGGAAAAAATAGAGGAACATCTGAATGCCAATACGAAAACAAAAGACACACCATATACATCATCATTAACAAAAACAGGAAAAGATACTAAAATAAATGTTACGTTACCAACCGTAGGCATTGAACATGAACTAAATGACGCTAACGTAAACAAAGAAGGTGGACAAGAAAAAATTCAAATCGGCTTGCCCAGTCTGCCTAAAGTCAGCGTGAAAGGAAAAGGCTTGGAAGGGGAAGGAGATGTTGATATTAAATTACCAGAAGGAAGATTAAATGTCGATGCAGAACTTCACAACGTAAATATTAAAAGTACTCAAGGTTCAGCTGGCTTCAACGTCAACCTACCGTCGTTGGATGTTGAAGGAAAAACTCCAAAAATGGATGCCGATCTGTCAATACCTGAAGGCGGTATAGGCGTTGAAGGAGAACTTCCAGATGCGAATATCGACGTGAAGGGAATCAAAGGCAAAGGTGGTTTTCATATCGGTCTACCTAGTTTACCTAAAGTCAGTCTAAAAGGTAAAGGTACAAGAGGAGATGGAGACTTCGATGTAGAATTACCAGAATGTGATGTGAAAGCTGAGGTTCCGGATGTCAACCTGAAAGGTCCGAAGGCATCGGGAGGTTTCCACATTGGCATGCCAAAATTTGGTGTGAAAGGAAAAGTACCCAAGGGCGACGTGGATGTGGATCTGCCGGAAGGAGGCGTAGACGTTAATCTCCCGGAGGCTAATTTGGATCTAAAAGGTCCGAAAGGTTCTGGTGGGTTCAATATCAATTTACCATCGTTTGGTTTAGGAGGAAAAGGGGAAGCCGATTTGGATGCCGGCATATCGTTACCAAAAGGCGAAGTTGGTATCAAAGGTGAATTGCCCGACGCCGACATCAACGTTAAAGCTCCAAAAGGAAAAGGCGGTTTCCACTTCGGTCTACCGAAATTTGGTATCAAAGGTAAGGAGCCGAAAGGTGAAATTGATATGAATCTTCCAGAAGGGGACCTGAACGTGGACGCTCACTTGCCAGATGCCGACGTAGATCTGAAAGGACCAAAAAGTTCCGGCGGATTCAACATAAAAATGCCGTCTTTCGGAATCAAAGGTAAAGGTCCTAAGGTAGAAGGAGGCGTCGATGCAGATGTATCTTTACCGAACGTAGAAGCTGATCTGAACGCCGGCGTATCGTTACCAAGAGGCGAAGTTGGAATAAAAGGTGAATTACCAGATGCCGATATCAACGTTAAAGTTCCAAAAGGAAAGAGTGGTTTTCATATCGGTTTGCCTAAAGTTTCGTTAAAAGGCAAAGAGTTTAAAAGTGGGCATAACATCCATGTTGACTCACCTGATATCGAGCTCGCTTCACATTCCGTAAAATCTGAAAAAGATTACAATATTGAATTACCTTCTTTTAATTTGTCCGGAGCAGGTTTACAACAGTCTGCTGGTATTAGTGGAACTTCCTCGGACTACACGATTGAACCTTCCAGTAGATATCATGTTGGTTTTCCAAAAGCAGTGTCAAAAGCTCAAACCTTTGATTCTGATATTTCATCTCCTTCAGATGAGCAGCGAGTTTCAAGTCTGCCGAGAGCTAATGACAAGTGGAAAATTAAATCAAAAAGTAAAAGTAGACCTCGCAGCATGGAATTTAATTCTGGAAATATGTCACTTGAAGAGAGCGGTCCTGGGGAAGACGTCGACGTTTCAGGAAGTAAAAGGAAAAGAAAACATAAACGTGGTTTTATACAACGCATTAAAGAGTTTTCAATTCGAATGATTCTAAATCGGGCAAATCCGACGTTGTCGATAGTTTGTCGATGGAACATCCAGATGACAAAGTTAAATCTAATGTCAGTACTATTTCTATACATGTTGATCGTCCTGAATTTGCCCTTGGTGAAAACGTTGCAACTACTTCTGCATTAGAGCCAACTGTTAAATTAAGCGATGCAGAATCTGGTAAAATAGCTTCCCCAGCTCATTCTTTGCAATACGGCCAGTCGTATAATGCATTTATTGAAAAAAACGTTATCGTGACAGAGACAAATAGCGGGACCATCATTCAAAAAGAACTAGTTTCACATCAAGTAAACATAGAAAGTAAATCCCCTTTATCATAAACATGCTTAAATCTTTAGGGTTGCAAATGAAAGTTTGACAATAATTCAAACTGTGTCTGTGTTCATCTTTTCTTTAAACGACTGATTTGATTTAACCGTTCATTATGTGTACCGCATTTTTCACTGCTTCAGACCGCATTTTGAACAAATTTAAGACAAATTGAATTGACCAACAAGAAACACTATTTTTATTTCTTTATTAATATACGTATACATACAATTTAAGCTTTTAAATTTAAGTTCATTATATTTTTGATCTGATAACGTGCTTTTGCTTTTTTAGTGGCTTACATGTGATTTTTTAAATAACAATATATTGAATAATAGTTTACTTATTTACACACCAAAAAAATTTTCAAATCTTAAAAACGATGAGCCTGCGCAAATCTGTTAATTAATCAAAAAATAACCCTCTGTTATCATTATCGTAATATAAAAAATCGGCAATGTTCTTAAGTACCTTAAAAATGTTAAGGCAAATGGAGTCTGTTTTTTGTAACTTTCCTACATCCCACTATATTTGACCAGTTTTAACGTGTCAATTACTGTCATATGAAAAATTTAATATAAAGGTAAACAAATTATTCAGATTTTGTCAAGGCATTTGATACGATACCAGGAAAACGTTTATTAAAATTAGAAGCAAACCAAACAGAATCACAGAAAATGTACACAGGTGAAATTCAAATTTGTGTGGATAGCCAACCAAAATGGATAAAAAAGGGAAAGTACTCAAAATAAAATTTTACTATCCGTTATTCATTAACGACTAAGACATGAAATAATGTGGGAGATTTCATAGTTTAGGGAAGACACTAAATTGTACGATGTACTCGATAAAAATGAAAAAATTCAAAAATATACCAACGGAAAGGGGGCAGAGGACTGGAAAGTCCAGTTGTAGAAATTACGTGTAGTCATGCATACTGCATAAGAGAAAAAGAAAAGCATATTATCGATGGACAATAAATAACTTAAGACTTGAGTTTTTAACAAGTATCAAAGAGTGATCAATAACCAAATAGAAAGGTTTCACAACAATGAATAAAGACGATCAACAATGTGAACAATTTTATGAACGTGACAAAAAAAGAGCAGTAAAAACAAACACTCTAAAAAATAAATGTTACGAAATAAAAAGGAAGAGCTTATAAACATTCTTCATATTTTAATTTAACAAAAAGAGCCAACGCTCAATAACAAGATGTTCATTTGATTAAAGTTTTGAACATTTTTTAAATAAGATTAAACGGATTTCAATATAAGAAGTTATTTTATATGTTATTTTATAAATTGTTTTAATCAACAGTTTAAACAATGTTCCAATGCTTCAGTTGGATCTCAAACCCACTATTGAGTTTCACTGTCGGTCTCTGTTGTTTAACTTGTGTATAAGCATCTTCAAATGTTAATTTGTCATCCACCATAATAAGAAAAATAACAACAGCTGGTGCTCTTAAAATATTTAAAATTTCATATTTTATAAATTGTTATCGTTTTTGTTATTTATTAGTACGTTGTTATAACATATCAAATTGTTAAAAATCATTATGCATCACGCCATTCTAGAATGGAAGCAATGGCCGATTTCATAAACAGAAAAACAACAAATTTAGTATATTACACACATTTTCTTTCTGGATAACTAAATACTTTAATTAAATTTTCCTATTTCAATTTTCATGATCAATAAATTCTGACTATAAAAATATTACAAAATAAAAGACTTCAAAAATGTTAAAGTGCTAATAGACCATATATATATATCTATATATATATCAAATATATATATTCTTGTTGTATACTGCTGATGTGTTTGACATGATGGAGAATCATAAGATGGAGTGTTATGCGTATGCAGATGATATTCAATTAGTGTCATGTGCTCCTGTTGAAAAGTTTGATGATTTAGCTGAAGGACTGAAAGATGCGTTGGCTGCAGTAAATATTTGGATGTCATAAAATAGAATAAAATTGAACAAAGATAAAACCAAGTTAGTGCCAATGGGTACATGGCAGCAGACATCAAAAATACATCGAGATGTATTAGAAATGGATGATGCCATTGTTAAATTTGAAAGATCATCCACAATTCTGGGCTTCACACTTGATGCTAATCTGACCATGCAGGATCATATACGGGGTGTCATAAAGTCATGTTGTTTTCATCTACGTCAGTTGCAGCACATTAAGAGATTCGTCAGCAAGCCCGCTTTGATGGTATTAGTTCATTCATTTGTCCACTCACGTTTGGACTACTGCAACAGCCTACTGTATGGTGTTTCAGCGAATGAAATTGCACTGTTGCAATCTGTACAGAATAGGGCAGCTAAAGTAGTAATGGGTGGACAAAAGTATGATCACGTGACTCCATTGATTAAGAATTTGCACTGGTTGGTAATTGAAAAGAGGATTGTTTTTAAAATTTGCTTATTAATGTTCAAGTGTTTGAATGGTTTGGCACAACGATATCTGACGGAGATGTTTACACTCAAAGATATGACTGCTCAGAATTTTGTCTTGAGATCAAACGATCAGAATTACTTGACAGATCGGGTGTCAAAATTGAAGATTGGGTCTCGTAACTTTGCTGTATGTGGTACGGAAATATGGAACAGTCTTCCATGCGTCATTCGACGACCAGGGATGTCACTATTGCAGTTTATGAGAGAATTGAAAACACACCTGTTTTGAAGATTAATTGAAGTTGTAAATAGTATGTTGCATTTTGCTTTTGTTGTTTATGAATGTAGCTTATCGATAACGTAACATTCATTTGTTTTAAGCTGTTTATTTATTGTGCTGTCTTTAAATTGTTTGGTGCATTCACTTTGTCCATTCAAACAAATTCCTGTATTCGTTTCTTTGACATAGACCGCGGTTTTGAATCGTTTTTCGCCAACAATCAAATGAATATGATGCTATCGATGAAGAAAAGGAGACCAAAGAAGATGACCAGCCAATAAAGAAACCTGACACCTAATTCGCATCAAAGTTCAATTTTACAACACCAAAGTTAATTTTTACAACGTCAAAGTTCATCTTGACAAAGTCAATATTTCCCTATATATACAGCAAGGAGCACTGATGATGATTCATTCGGAATCGAAATATGGCCTTATTTGCAGCATGAATTCGAAAAATAAGTTTATTTTGATAAACTAATAACTGATAACTTGATATTTTAATAAACTAAACGTTCACCAAAAAACTTTAGTGAGTAAAATCGAAAAAACGAACTACAAACATATTAACGCCAAAATTTATAATTCGGTAGAATTTATAGAATATTATAAAAATTATGGTATATATATATATATATATATATATATATATATATTAAAATATTTATTTGATCCAAACAAAACAGACAAAATTAGTGATCAGGAGACCCGGAAGAAGAAAAATTCTTGTAGTGGACCGCCCTGGACAAGATTATCATTATCATAAGGATAACGTAAAATAAAATTGATTAATTAAATTGTTTTACATGTGTGTATTGTATATATGTATGTATATATATATGTATATAAATATACTATATATATGTATATGCTGGTAATAGACCATAATTTTTACAATATTCTACAAATTCTACCGAATGTTTGGCGTTAATATATCTGTAGTTCGTTTTTTTGATTTTTCTCACTAAAGTTTTTTGGAGAACGTTTAGTTTATTAAAATTCAAAATAAACTTATAAGAGAATTTATAGAATATTGTAAAAATATATGTATATTTATATATATATATTGCATGAATTCTACCGAATAATCGGCATTAATCAAATTAAATTGATAATTTGAAATTCAATGCCAACAATTCGGTGGAATTCATACAATACTGTATAAAATATGATCTCCTTCCAACGTATGTATATATATATATATATATATATATATACATATATGCATATATATCTTATAATTAATATGCATATATATATCTTATAACTTATCTTACAGCACAGATTAACTCATTTTCTCGTAATGAAGTTGCCATTCTTAGCACATGTACCATTACCAATGCACCAAGCTCCTTGCACATTCAACTACATTGGTTACCAGCACGTCAACGTGTTATTTTTAAACTTGCCGTCTTCACTTAATACATCTCAAATATATCTTCATCAACTTATATCGTGTCGTTCATCAACTCGTCAACTTCGTTCGTCTTCATATACTCTGTCAGCAATTCATCAGTTGTCAACAAATGTCTTACGTACTGCTCTCCTTCCATATGGAATGGTTTGCCCGCCATTATTCGTCAACAATCAACTATCAAACATTTTAGGAAACGATTAAAAAACTTTTTGTTTATCCAGACCTACGGAAACGTCAAAAGTCATTGTTTATCCAAGCGTCCCTGAGGCTATGCATAGGATCAATCAACCAATCTTCGTTTTGCGTCCAGAGACTCGGTTCCCCGAGGTAGGACGTTGTTTTCTTTGTCATCAACTTTTTGCACCAAATTAGACGATCAGTTGTATCCATTTCATTTAAATTTAGAGCTTTCATGTCTTGCTGGATTGTTTGCGACCAGGACTTCTTTGGACGGCCTTTGGGACGTTGTGCCAGGTACTTCAACATCTGCAAGAGAAGTTATGGCACTGTTTCTACTCCGTTTGACATGACCAAACCACCGCAGACGGCGTTGCCGGCATTCGTCCTTTATATCATCTAAACCAGCCCGACGCAGGATTTCGGTAGATTTGATATGGTCCTTCAGACTAATTCGTTGCATCCATCGGAGCATTTTCATGTCGGTTCGTTGAAGTTTTTGTTTCAGTTTGGTTGTCATTTGCCATGTTTCTGCACCATATAACAACACCGGACGTATCACAGATTTATAAAGTCTTGATCGTAGTGGTGGTGGGATGTCACGCCGCATCAATATAGAGGCAAGGAGATGTCATTTATTCCAGGCTGCACGTATGCGTGTTCGAACGGCAGGTTCAGCTGTTCCAGTACAATCCAGAACATCTCCTAGATATTGAAACGATGTGACTTTCTCTACCTTTCTCGTCCAGTAGCAGTGGATTGGATGGGTTCACCAGTGTTCATTGCTCTAGTTTTGCTGATGTTATAAATAACAGTGGACTGAGAATCGAGCCTTGGTGAACTCCAACGCCGATGTCAAATGCATCTGTGTTTCCAACCATTGTGCTGACGAGAGTCTTAGTATTCGTATACATTTCCATCACAAGTCGAACAAGATATTCTGGAATGAGTTGTCGACGTAGACTCCACCTGATTGCTTCACGGGGAACTCAATCAAATGCTTTTTCAAGGTCTACAAAAATGTGTGATAGTTGTTGATGCTTTGCGAGGTACTTCTCTTGCAGTTGCCGAAAGATGTGAATTGCATCAATTGTTGATTTCCCCGCTAGGAAACCAAATTGACAATTTCCGATTGTGATGCACGACGTTAATCTTTTCTCAATGATTTTCTCGACAATTTTCAGGGAGTGTTCTAATAGACGTATACCCCGATATGATGAACAGTTCAATAGATCACCTTTGCCTTTGTATAGCGGGACTGTCATGCTATAGTTCTATTCAGTCGGCATTGAGCAATTTCTCCAGATTTCACGGCAAAGTTGTAGTAACGTTTGGATACCTGCAGTACCAGATGTTTTGATAATGTCATTTGTGAGTCCAGAGGGCCCTGCTGCCTTTCCATCGTTCATATCTTTCAGAGCTTCTGTAAGCTCCTCTCCAGTGATGTCTGGAATAGGACCTTTGATGGGTAGAGCGTCAAAGTTATTATTGATGGGATTTGTTTCGTTTAACAGACGATTGAAGTATTCTCTCCACTGTAGCTTGATCTCATGTTGTTCAAGAACCATCCCATTTTAGTTATGCATAGGACGCGATATAAATTAATAATAATATAGTATTGTATGAATTCTACATGTTGGCTTTTTAATCAATTTAAAGTTTGTCTTTTCAATTTTCCTTACTAGAATTTCCTGGAAATTATTCAATTTGTTGTAAGAAAAATTGAAAAATCAAACTTTAAATTGATTAGTAACAATAACTCGGTAGAATTCATACAATACTGTATAAAATATGGTCTCCAAAATATTAAATGTTTTTTGAAACTTATAGCAATGAAATTCAATGAAACATGTATAATTAAAACAAAACCTTGACAATCCAGCCATACAGTGTACAAACAAAGTACCACAAACACGCTTGACTTCAGAATAAAATACTTGGCATTTCTCTAACTTCTTTAACAAATTTTCTTCTGGAATATCTAACATGGAGACATGACTGTATACAAAATTTTCAGGATAGTATGCCATGCATTCTGTAGAAACGTTTAAAATATGCGTTATTCCAAGATGGATAAGCATTTGTAAATCGCCACAGACATCTGCAGAACCTAGATGAATCAGGAATATCACATTTACATTAGTTTCTGAAAAAAAGCCATAAAACGTTGGATTTAAAAATTTAATATATTTGAGTTGGTAGATAAATTTGTCTTAAAAACATAAATGTTTAACTAAGATATTAAATTGATTAACAAAAAGATCTTTCCTATTAGTTTCTAACAAATTGTTGTACATCCATCAAATGTCTAGCGATTAAAAAATTCAAGTACAAAACCCATTTAATACATTTTCTTAAATTTGTCAGCACAAAGCACAAAATGAATTTTTTTTCTTTTCTTATCAGCATTTATTAAATTATTGCAAAAAAATTGGTTCCATTAATCATTGGTACAATTTATGTGTCATACAAGTCATTAAAACTAGTTCTAAACTTCAAAATATTCATATTCAGAGAGCCCAACTCAAGCATGACTGGATGAAATACATGCAAGCCCTTCAAATTGTTATTAAATATTGGTTCAGCAACTGAATATTTTTGGCTCCAGAAACTAGACAAAAACTAAAAACTAGGGTTTAGTTGAATGGTTACTTCAGGCTGAAATCTTTGAACTGCCAAGCTTGCTGATAATAAAACATCTGAATCAAAATAATTTTATATAACACTGGCTAGGTTAAATAAACCTGCACAAAAATCTATGTTCAAAAGGCTTCCATTTATTATTTATTAAAGAAGGAGAAAATTAAATCTGTAAAACATTTTTTAGACTAGCATGAAAAAATTTGAAAAAAAAAAAGAAATGCCTGAAATGTTCATAAAATTTTCAGTTTATTTTAAATCATTTAATTTAAGCATATTATTTTCTGATTCATGATTGTGTTTTCAAATTATATTTTGTAAACATGATCTCATCAATTTTTATTGATGCAAAATTCCAAGCTAATAGCTTATCAGCTATTAATTATAAGCTATTAATTTAGCTATTAGCCAATAGCTTATTAGCTATTTTATTAATGTTTTTCAGTGGGTTTTAACAGAAAAGTCATAATTTTCATACTAAAAAATACTAAGATTGTATAATAGAATAGAAAAACTCATAAAAAATTTAAAGAAAAATGTTTTTAGCAGCTCTAGGCTTGACCGGTAAAAAATATGTTTCAATCTGATTTAATATTTAATTTCAACTGATTTAATTTATTTTTTTATCCATAATCTTAGTTGATAACTCAAAATTTTTATTCCAAAACAAATTATTAAAATTTAAAAGTTACCTAGAAAAAGATTTGAACGTATTTTGCCAACTTGCAAATCAGGATTCAGATCCAAGACATAAGGATATTCAGTTTTTCCAATAACCTGTGTTTCACCATCAGGACAATCTTTAGCATCTCGAAATTCAACATACTGTAAACCTCCAACAGTTGTAACTTGTGTTGAACATTTTCTCAATGAAGACTTTTTAAATTCTGAAAGTTGCTGAAGAAGAGACATTACCATGCTTCTACCATAACGAATTATGAGTTTTCTAAGTAAGAAATGAAAAAATGTTGATACATGTGAGATTGAGTTAATCTGTTTTTAAGCTTAAAATTTAAAAAAACAAACTTAAAATTTGTTTCAACTAAGACCTAAGTCAAATAATGTAGTTGCAATAAACAAGAAAAATAAAACTAGTAGTTTAGGTCAACAAATTCCAAAGTCTTGACAACTGAATGAAGTATAAAGCTTACACATTATAATTTAATTAAAAATATAACTCTTTTATAAAAGATAACTAAATAACTAATGCTAGAAAAACCCAGAACTGATCTCCAGTCTTGCCAGTAAGTACTAAGTAATTTATTGTTTTAACTAAAAAAGCCAAACAGCTGAAGGACAGTCAAGAAAATAAAATGAATGAACAGAACATCAAAATTTATTTTTCAGAACTTCAGAAGGATCAATCATCAATGATCAATCAAATGCAAATAATTAGCTAGCATCATGCATAGTTAACTGCAGAAACATAACATTTGCCCAGAATTATTGTACTTTATCGAAAAATCTAACCGACTATTTATTTCGATTTATATGAAACATGTTATATACACTGGATGTAAATAAATAATTATGATACTATAATCATAATGATAATCTATAATATACTATAACTATACCATCTATAATATAAGGCAAGCTAATGTATAAAATAATCAATGAATATGATTTCAACCATACATTTCCATCATATATATTATATTTTTATATAACATAACTTACTTAATCTTAAGTTTAACTTATTAATATATTAATTATATGATAAATTAGTCTTAATGAGCTTTCGGTTTGCCTTAAATAATATTTTTCCAATGGTTCAAATGTCACAACATCACATCCCACTATGTTACAACTATTTCTTATATCACATAACAACGTGCGGTCAACGTTTTTGTTGATATAAATATAAAAATTTATTCTAATTATATGATATAAACTATAAAGTAGGCACAAATAGTGATGCGCAAATTTCGTTTTAAATACCCGAATTTCCGTACTCTGATCCGAATATAATTCTAATCATCTTATACTTGTTATCCGATTAAATCTAAACATCACCAACCAAATACTAAAAATGCAAGAAAATTTGAGTACAAAATTTGGTTTTATTATAACACAAATAATAAAGATTGTGTCACAAAAAAATTTCAATTGAAATTTCAATTGCCTGTTTAATGATGTTTTTGTCTGTCTCTACCTCTGCCTCTAGCTTGACTGGAGTTTAGCGTCTAAGTTTTGACTAATAAAAAAATTGAAAAGTCCAGAGGTGAGCCACGAAAATTTAAAAAATTGTAAAAATTTGAGCTACAAATTCAGAGTAATTAAACTTGACCTACAATCTCTTTGGTATTGTAGGACCAGAGGTGACCTTATTTTAATTTGTTGGATAGTTCACAACCTAGTGAACCCAAAGATTTGCCCAGTTTTGAACCGTCGATTAGATATCAACAACAAAAATCATCATCACAGGCTACGCATCAAAGTTAATACACTTTGATGTGTCGGAAATTTTACCCGCATTTCTTAATTTATAATTTGATATTACTCTTAAGTTGAACATTTTTATTTTTTCACGTTCTAAACGTTTATTAATATTTGTTTGTACGAGCCTTTTCTTCGTAATAATTAAGACATTTACACCAACAAAACCGTAAAATAGACGGACGATAGGACTGATACTTAAAAGAATAATTTTGCCTCAATCTGAATCGATAGAAAGAATATTAAAACTTCCAAACCAAATAAACTTGGTCGTCCAAACTTGAATGTACAACAAAACCGTACAATAACTTGTAACTGAATTTTTATTACAAACTATAGGCTCATGAACAACGGAGACAATAAAACAAAATCATCAAATCATCTCTGAGCAGTAAAACGAGTACATAATAAATACGATTATATCTGGAGTTTCTGCTACTCTTGGTAGATGCCTGGCCTTATCAAAAATAGACTACTCTACTTTTCTACATACATATTGATATAAAGCCTCTCGCACATCTATCAAGAAACTATTCAAAACAAAATTGCTAGACTGATTCTCAACAAACCACCTTACTCCAGCTCTTCCATTTTCCTGCCATTCCGACACTGCATTGTCTTCGTGTCTCCAATCGAATCATTTTCAATACTGCAGTCCTAACTTACAAAATAATATTGTCAAAATTTCCAGCATATTTACATGACCTCATATCCAGCCATGAACAAACATGTTAGATCGCTCCGCAGATCGCCGATAGACTTTTTAAACGTTCCTATTGCCAAATCCTATTTCGCTAGTCGCAGCTCTCGCCACGCTGTTCCGGATGTTTGGAATGCATTACCTTTGGAGGTGAGACAAAATTATTCGATGAATTTTTTCAAATAGACTAAAGATTCATCTTTTCAACGAATGCACGTAGTCCTCGGGAGCTTCTGATCACGTCACACCAATTCACCAAAGATGGAAAAAAGAATTGTTTTTAATATATGCGTCATTGTTTACGAGTGTCTGAATGGAATGACGCCAAAAAATCTGGTTGAAAAATTTTCTCTTAACAATGATTTAAAATATCGATCTCTTCGATCTGATGAATCTTCCTTGTTGCCAAATTTTTTTGTCAAGTCGATGATTTTTTCAAGAGATATTTTATTATTATTATCATTGTTAAAAAAACAGAATCTGACAAACGCGGAAACTGTTACAGCAGGCAAGGCAATAGTGTAAAATGATGGCGAAAAATTAATAACGGAGAAAAGAATGTTTAAGCATGAAAAGTATGGCAAATAAAATAGTGATGGTTTAAAAGGCAAATAAATTAAATAATTTATGAATAGACTAGTTAATGACATAGTATATATATATATATATATACAAATATATATATATATATATATATATATATATACAAAACGACACACGCACGTAAGCTTATATATGTTTGTGTCGGTTTTTGTGTACTATCAAACGTGTAAATTTTCATATAATTGGTCTAGTCATTCAACATCCTTAATGTCGAAATGATGCTGATGAGTGTGTATTCCTAGTTTTTTAATCATTATTCGACTAAATTATCTTCCTTGTTGGTTACGTAGGGTATAAGTTTTGCCGATATTATTTGAACATAATTTAATTGTAATTTTCAGAATTAGAACATTGCTACTTTATTGGCATTATGAAGAAACTTTTTTCAAAAAAAATCGTTCAGAAATCTCCAAGTAAATGCATTTATTTTCACATTACACGCCATTTTTGCACGAGGGAATATTACTGTGGGTTTAAAATTATCGCATTTAATAGTGAAAATGTAAATTTGATTTTCACACAGGCTCCGCTCCGCCAATTGTTCTAGAAGAAGAAGAAGTAAGCAATTTATGATTCATTTATTTTATTTTTAATTATTTCTTATTTGTTTATATATTTATTATTTTATTTCTATTTTATAAAGCATAATAAGTTTCTCATTGTTATGTATTTATTTAAAAAAAATCTTATTTTAAATATTGCAATCAGTTTCATTCACAGTTATTGATTGGTTATTAAATGTAAATAAACTTTCAGGATTTGTATGAAACTGTCGACCCAATTGAAAATAAACAAAGTACATTCTTCATTATTATTCAAAATATACTTTATATATATTTTATATATTTCATACAGCACCATTTGAAAGTGTTAAATTTAAACATGCTCTTCATATTATATAGCAACTGTTTTTTTCAATTATATTTTTATAATATGTAAGAAGACAGAAGCCACAGAGGCATGTCAAACAAAGCATAAATTGTCATTTAAGGTACGAGCAGTTACGATGACGGGGAGGATTGGTCGGAAGACGAGTTTGAACCAGTCGAGGTTAGCCAAATAATGTTGTTCAAATGCTAAATTTTGACTAATTATTAATTTTAATATTATCTATTACAAATGATTATTTCAAAATACGTATCATATAATTTATTTTCCACGTTACTTTTAATATTATTATACATGAATGTGGTCTGCACATGTATGTAGGATTTGAAGGCCTTTTGGTTAAGGGCGCCTGTTTCTTCTACGCAGTGCGTGCAGTGATGGCGTTGAATGTGACAAAGGAATCCCTCCGCGTTTTATGTGTGGTGGTCGTTTAGCACGTTCACAAAATCTGTTTGTGTGTTGCTGATTCTTCTGAACTTTGGAAGTGATTGGACGGCGCGATGGCGTAACGGTAAAGTTCTTGACACTGCTTGTATCGAATCCGGTGATTGCAACAATCACCGGATTCGAAAGCAAAGAAAGCAAGTGTGTGATGTGTTGTTTCACGTGTATTTACGTGCACAGTGTTTGTTGTTGATACTTCTGAAAAGTATTCAAGAGAGAATTGTAATAAATAAAAAAAGACCTTTAACATTTTTTGCACTCGTTCATACATACACTAAGCCCTTCTACAACATGTCCCTTATCCCTAAGCACATGATTACCTGGGTTATGTGGAATTCTATGGCTTCTGTTCGTGTCCACATCTGGACTGCAGCATAAGGCATATCAAGGTAACGGATCAGTGAGAGGTTGAGAGATCGCTGGATTATGGCGTCGTCTGCTTGAGTTGGCCTATTTAGGAGGCATGGGTGGCCGGTAGCACTGCGTGGCTGTGGTGTGGAGACCGATTCTGGATGTGCATCGTCGATATTCAATTTAGGTTTTAGTATTTTCTAATTGTCAATCTTGCTGCTACTTTTACCTCTTAAATAAGTTAATGGTATCTTATTATTCCTATCTCGCAACTACTTTTACCTTTTCGGTTTTAAAGTTTTTCTATTCGTTAAAAAATATTTCGTGGCTGTTGTCGTGACTGCTTGTGTGTTTTAATGCGGTTTGTTTCTTTTTTTATCTGTTGCCTATGATGGGTTATATTTGACACCATTGGTTTTAAATGGAGTGGGTTTTGTTTCGGGATGTTAAGATAGCATTATTTAAATTGCTTTTTCAAAAATAAAAGCAATCGAATCAATCAAGTATATACCAATTTAAATTTTCCCTTAAAAATTTTTGCAGGAAATTTATTTAAACAAAGATGAACTGAATATTGGTGAGCATTTGTTTTTCACTTATTGTGTGTATCAATTTTTACAACATTTACGGTTAACAGTGGTTTCATCTTTGATCCAGCATTGAAAGGAAGCGACGTTATACCCCCAATACCTCCACGAAATTTAACTGCCCAGTTAAATTTGAAATCATCTCAATTTACAAACAATTCCTCGCCAGTAACTAATTGCAAAAAAATTTTTTTGGCCAACGCAAGTTGTTCAGTTTCAAGTGAAGATTCATACTCCTATGAGCCTGTGGATGAACTTGACTTAAAGGTTTCAGTTTAATAAATTACAGGCCATACACAAAATCAATTTAGAGTTTTTAAATTATTATTATCTTATTATTATTATTTTTTACACTTACTTTAAAGTAAAACTGTGATGAAAAGCGCTATATAAACATTGGCGCTTGTCATAACTGTGTTACTCAGAAGCGCTCTAGCATGCATTACAGGTGTTAAAAAGCTTCACGTCATTCGAGCTGACACACACACACAAACGTACACATGGCATATAATAAATAAGCGTGTACCACATTGCATGCACGGAATAGGCGGAGATTTCTTTGCATTGAGACCCAGTTCATACTGTAGCAGTAACTGGCATCTTAGCCATTACCATCGCAGCGATTCAGAACTGATCCTATCCTCGGTCGCATACGTGTTGATTGAAACTGGTCTTCCTGTTTTACTAATTTCATGTTTTAAATTTTCAAGTGACTTACAGTCATTTTTTAAAGAAAATTGTCTGCTCTTTCTGTACTACATTATGTATGTATTATATATTGACAACGAAATACAAATAGCTTAGGGCTTATAGAAAAATAACATCGTGCACGGGCTATATCGGTACCCAATTGTATTTTTCTTAGTTTTTAACATTTTTCTAATCCTATAAAACAATTAATTTTAATAAAGTTTTTTAAACCAACTGTCATTATTTTAAGGCTGAAATATAACCGAAAATTATTATCATTTGGAATTTGAAAGAAAATCAATTTTTTAAAATAGGTGCTCATCTGTAGGCTATATATTCCAAATTAAATTTCAGTTAAATAAAGTCTTGATCAGTTTGTCGGTCAATACATCACATTTGAGCAAAATTCAAAATTACACACAATTTTACAAAAAATAAAATATATATATCATAAAGTTCAGTCAACGATGATGATGAAGATGATGATGACAAAAATTTTCCTCTGCACAAGTGATCTTATCAAGTTAACATGACAACATTACAAAACAAAAAAGTAAAACAAATATCTACAATTAAATCACCAAAAACATTTAAATCAATATGTTGAATAAATTTGAAAGCGATGAGTCAAAGCAACTGACTCTAAAGAAAAATTCAATCTATGTTTGATTTTAGCCGCATTTGATTTTTTACTATTTTTTTATCACAGGAAAAAACAACTCTTAAATTTTCTTGCTTATATTATTGTTTTATAATAAGGTAGATTAACTGACATTATAAATTTATGCATAAATCAAGTTGGAATTCATGTCATATCATTAATAAGTCAATTTAATTTCAACATAAAGTTCAAATGTTTTTTTTATTACTAACGGCAAGCTACAACAAACTATGGAAAGGTTATTCTTTTTGCGACGAGATTCATAAAACAGAACATCTTAAGTGATCTGGTTTATTATTAATCATATTAATAATCATGATTAATCATATTAATAATCATTATTAATCATATTATTCACTTTAACAATTATGATTAATAGTATCAATAATCTCGCCCTCCAGCCATTTGGAAAGAGGTCATTACTATTACCTCAACGATCAACCAATGTGGAAAAATCACTGTCAGGTGAGCAACATTAACGTTTTTATCTCATTTTATTTCTTCGTACGGTTATATATATATATATATATATATATATATATATATATATATATATATATATATATATATATGATAGATGTATGCGAAGAAATCTACGAAATAGGCGAACCAATAGCAACTGAAGCTCTCATCGACCGAAAACCGAAACCAAAAGAATCCAGTCAACTACGTACGTGTTAAAAACTGTTTTCGCATATTTTTGACAATCTAAAGTCAATTAACCTGACCATTTTACAATTTCATTTTTGTTTTTCAATTGATTGATTTTGAGATTATTTTATTTAATTCTCAGATGTTTCACCATTTCCTTCATATGCCAAATCTGAATAGTTATTTTTTTCATTTACCAAATGATTTATTGCAACTCAAATGATCTTATGTATGATGATTGAAAACTTTCACTTAAGAAGCCTTATGCCAATGTTTTTAGGGTCTTTCCTGTTATCATGGAATTTGATACTAAATTTTTTCTATAATGTTCTTCCCATTCCAAATATTGATGCTAGGCATATATATATATATATATATATATATATATATATATATATATATATATATATATATATATATATATATATAGAATATCCATATTATATATACATAATATATATGATATATTCTATATATATGATGCTAGGTATTAGAGCGGCGGTGACGTCATAAATATATTATAATTTAATTTCTGCTAGACTACTTAATGGAACTTCATGAAATGGCATGCGAATAATGATTTTGAGTGATCGGCAAAACTGAAATGCTATGAATGAATGACTTAGCTAGCATTAAAATAAAATTATTAAATAAATAAGTATAAAGGTAACAGATTATTTATAAACCAAATAAGTAAATAAAATAACAAATAAAAACAATAAAAAATACCTGTTGAGGTTTTAGATGATTCGTACACGCTTGTATTTTCGGAGCAAGAAAGGAATGGTGACCTTGGTGTAAGATCTACATTTTGTTTTATATCTTCCTGGCCGGAGAATTGTTCATTGAAGCAAACGGCTGGGCCCAGAAGATACGAAATAAGATAAAAACGTAGTGAGGTCCCCATGTCTTGGTTCAGAGTGCTTAAACGTGTCACATCACAAAAAATAAACCATGACGATTTCAAATGTGTTAACGTCAACAAAATTATCTAAACCTATATTTGCAATATTTTAGAAAAGGTATCCGAAAAAACAATTGGATTCTCTCCTACAAATAGTATAATATCCAACAAAGGCAAAAATTTTTCGACTGAAAAAGAATTGTTTAACATCAATGGAAAAAATGAAAATTTCGCAAATAAAAAGAAAGAACATGTTCAGCAGGGATTATTAAAAAATTTCAATAATAAAAGTTGATTTTGAATTTTTTTAACTTTCATAAGTTTGCAAATTAATTCATATTTTGCACAAATTTAATATTTCACCATGATTTAAAAAAGCTTTAAATTTTATAACAAAAATTCTATTTTTTAAATAAATTGCTCCGTTAGATAATGAAATGCATGGTGAAAACAAAAAAATATTCTCTCAAAAAACTCTAGGAGGAGGTAGCCTTTCAGAAGAAAATAACACCCCAAAATCTACAAATTCTCTTCTCTTCAAACAACTGAAAAAAACATCCTACACCCATTTTGAAGCCAAATCTTTCAGCGGAAAAACTGAGAACGAAAATAATAAAAGTTTGATTTCTGTTATAATAATAATATAAATATTACTATTATAAAAATATAACATTCTATTTGATTTAGAAACGCCTGAAATACTATCGACAGCCAACTCCTTGGTGTTAGAAATGAAAAAATCATTCCCTTACTCGAAAGAATTAAGTATGAACAAAACCGATGATTTATCTAATAATAAAAATAGTTGTTCAAAAGATGTTGATAAAACAGAAAAAACGCCGACAAATTCTTATTTAAATAAAAAAGAATCTTTGCGTAAAACGAACTATATAGATACAAAAAAATTATACCCTGCAAACGATAAACTGTCTGTTACAAAACCTCTAATATCTGGTGGAACATACTCTGAAAAATTGACAATACATTCTGAAGAAAAAGAAAAATCGGTAAAATTTAACTCCTTAGAAAAATCGAAGGTAAGAAAATAAATTAAATGTTACTTTTTTACGGTGCTTAGAACTAATTCTAATAAATTGAAGTAAAAACCCTCTTAGAAAGGTCTTTTAATTAAATATACTAAAAATGAAAAAATAATTTTTTTTCTACTAAATATATCCAGAAAATCATAAATGCTGTACAGTGTATCATTGTATCAATACGTTGTTTGTTACCAAAAATACTATTTTCAATATTAAACATTTGAAAATTATTTTCAACGTTTAAAAGGGCGTTTAACAATTTAAATTTGTGATTTACTTTAAAATTAAATCAACTTTATACAATACAAATTTTAACATGTTAAAAATGTGCGTTTTTACCAACAACCACCATTATATGAATTTTCATAATTACCAAATCGCGGATACCACGGACAAGCAGAGTGAGTCAAATAAAAGGGCATCTTACGTAATCTTTTCCTTATTAACATTGTTTTCCGAAACTATCTTACCTGATATCATCCACGATATCATTACAGATTCTCTTGCTAATAGGTGCCATTCAAGTTTTTCTATTTAAGATTATCATCAAACTTCGAAAATAATTTTAGTGTATTTCATGTATCTGTACTTGGACCTTTAACTGCCATCATTAGTGTTTTTAAAGATATCTAATTAATTGACACCACCAACAACCATTCAGCATGTTCTAATAAAATTTTAAAATATGCATGCAACACTTATCTTACCACCCCATCACCTAACAAACACCATCCAATCGGAACTCGATTTATTAACTATGTGTATGGTCAAAACAATGCAATCTGCCAGTTAACATCAATGAATCATAACAGTCTTAAGAAAATCTACCAAACAAAACCCAATGTGTATTATTTACTTATTTACTCATGACAACTACAACCACAAAACATTACTTTTATTATTTTATTTTACTAACAGCCTGATCAAAGTTCTGTCACAACGGACGAAGAAATGGGGTGGTATTTTTCAGATATATCTAGAAATTGTGCCGAAAAAAAGCTTAAAGAATTAAAAAAGGTTTAATTTTTAAAATCTAATTCTTGATAAAAACATTAAATTTTTACTTTAAAGCAATTAAATGAAAATAATATAACGATAAATAAAGAAAAATCTTAAATAAAAAAAGGCAAGGTTTTTTATTATAAATTTCACATAAAAATTTTTTAAATACATTTTAATTGTCAATTTATACTAGTGTACTTATAAAAAAGTTGATAGGCTTGCAATATTTTTTACATCTAAACAAACTAGTGACAAACGAGTGTTTTTCTAAACAAAGAATCAATTTTGATCAGGTTTTAATCATGGAATTTTCTTTTAAAAACATTTGAAATCATCAATTATGAATAAATGAAATGCATTTTTTGGATAGCGGTTTGATGGTAAGACTTTCATATTTCGTTTCAATAGTTTTAATCTATCTTTCTCGTGCTTTATCCTTTCGGGACATTGGCGACCATCGAACTCCACAAACCCTGATCTTTAATCTTTTGTAGTAGTTGAAATGTGATGATATTCAACAAGTGACACAAAGACTTCACGAATGTGATTCGTTGTTGACCGCGATCTCTTTTCTCTGCAATCTTACCAGTAGTTGTTAGATTTTTCATTCTTTACTTCCGCATGTGACCAAAAAACTTCAACTGCAACCGTCAGATAATCTGTAGTAATTTCCTCTTTTCATGACCGAACTGTTTTAATATATCCTCATTTGAAGTATGAGAGGTCCAGCTAATTTTCATAATTCTTCTAAAAAACCATCTCAGCTGCGTTAATCTTGATTTATATTTCTTTAAAAATTTTCCAGGACTCAGAACCGTAAGTTAGCACAGGAAAAATTTAACACCCTAACAGTTTTAATTTTCTTGATAATCTGATTTTACTGTTGTTGTTTTAATATACATTTCATATTCACTTAACCGAAAACTTAGTAAAAAATTTTAAAAACATGACATTTATCATATCGTCACGTTCTACAACAATTAACATTTTAAATATTTTTGCTTCCTGCTTCGAATTATAAATGTTTCTTTATCTTGTTTGATGACAAATTGAGATACAAAAACGTCAAAAATTAAATGTTGAAGATAATAAGACGTTTTGATTTTATGCACTGCAAATTAAATTCCCACAAATATAAAATGAAAGTTTGATATCCGAATTTTTGTAAAAAAAATAGTGATTATCGATTACTTTTAAATTCAGAACTTTAAAAGCATAAAAGCAAAACTTATAATCTAGTGATTCTATGGTTCAAATATAAAATATTTCATAATTAACCGAATTGTTTCATCTTGTATTGAATAATTAAATGTTCAGTGGCGGATTTATAGGACCGGGGATCACTGTTATTAACAGTCGAAGACAAATAAAAATTACAAATTTTATAATTATTTTACGTATATATGGGCATGGTTTCTAACTAAACAGATTTATCTCTTCTTTAATTGGTTACCTGTGTTTGATTCAGCTTGTCATCGGTAGTATGTTCTATAAGTTTGAATCAACTGAGGAAGTAAAGCTAAAAAACGATTGTCATCATTTCAGAAATTTTGTTATTCCTGAAAAAAATGTTTTTTGAAGTTTAATAGAGTAATTTTTTCAGTAGTCAAAGCAAGTAACTGTAAAGTCTCACTTCCAACTTGTTATTTGAGATATCCGACATAATCTACAATATTTTATTTTAATGTTTACCGGTTTTAACATTAGTATAAAACGCTTGTATCTAGATATCAAGTAGTATAATTTCTATTAATCGAAAAATTATGACAAAAAGTATAACAGGAATAGCAAAAATAATTAGGATCACTAATTCAGTTTTATTTTGCTTTTATATTTTTAAAGGATGGTGCATATCTGATACGGAAAAGTCAAAACGGTGGACCTACAAACCCTTACACTTTAACTGTTTGTCAAAGTTGTCGAATTTTCAATTTGCACATACGTCAGAAGCCAGATGGCAGGCTAGCACTAGGAAGTGAAAAAGTCAAAGAAATGGTATAATTTTATCATGCCAATTGCTGTACATATTGTATGCACATTATGATATTATGATATAGAATATATATATATATATATATATATATATATATATATATATATATATATACAATATTCTATAAATTCTACCGAATGTTTGGCGTTAATATGTTTGTAGTTCGTTTATTATTAACGCCAAACATTCGGTAGAATTTATAGAATATTGTAAAAATTATGGTCTATTACCAACCTATACATTATTATTATTATTATTACGGAAATTTATATACAGCGCTTTTTTATTGTTGAATCTCAAAAGCGCTACTAAATCATAGACAAATAAGACGGACATTCATTGTGCAAATAAATAAGTTTTAAGTTGACTTCGAAATTGTAAATATGATAGGTTAGGGTCACGTAAGTATGGAGGTAAACCATTCCAAACAATCGGGCCAAGAACCGCAAAGTTGCGGGAACCCGTCACCAGCTTTGTGGTCGGGATAAAAAATAAATTGCGCTCGGTTGATCGGAAGGAATATTTTGAAAAATGAGATTTGTATGATTCCAATCTATCGATGAGATAGGGAGGTGCTGTATTATTGACACATTTAAACATCAAAACTGCTAACTTGAAGGAAACACGTTTTTCAACCCTCAACCTGTGCAACCTATTCAAAATAGGCGTAACATGACGAACCACGAACCACCCAAAACTAGCTTGGCCGCACGATTCTGTATTGACTGAAGCTTTGAAAAAGACCTTTTGGTGACACCATAAAAAAGGCCATTGCAGTAGTCTAGTCTGGAAAAGACGAAAGAGGAAACCAAGCTTTGAAGAACAGACGTGTTTAGTGATTTTTTGACATTGCGTAATAAACGGAGTTGGTTGGAGCAGACCCTCACTAAATTATTAATATGTAAATCCATCTTTAAGTTTGAGTCAATAATAACTCCAAGACTACGGACAGATGTGGAAAATTCAATGATGTCATTGCCGACACTGATCGATGAAATTTTGACCTTCGACAGCTGCTGCCAAGAACCAACCGGTAATATTTGTGTTTTAGATTGATTTAACTTTAACTGATTCATACTCATCCAAGATCCAATTTCGATGAGACAGTCAGTCAGTTCATTCAGAGAAGCATCAATCGAATCAACAGGACAAGAAACCAATAACTGAATATCATCAGCAAAGGCGTGGGAGCTGAACTCATATTTTTGAATGATATCAAAAACATCAGCAGTGTACATAAGAAACAACAGAGGTCCCAACACAGATCCCTGGGGGACACCAAACGATAGTTTGTTTATGTCAGAGAGGGTGTTGTTGTAAGAAACCTGCTGGGTGCGGCCTAAAAGATAGGAAGCGAACCACGATAAGACTGAATCAGAGAGAAAAAAATTTGTGGAGAGTTTATACATGAGACGAGTATGAACGACACAATCAAATGCAGCACTCATATCAAGTAATGCTAAAAAAGAAATGCATTGACTGTCAACTGAAGAGAACAACTGGGAGAAAATATCAATGAGTGCAGTTTCTGTGGAAAAATATTGACGATAGCCGGATTGATTCTTTGGCAACAAATTGTTTTTGTTTAAATGCTGTAACAATTGTTTGATACATACATATATATATATATATATATATATATATATATATATATATATATATATAGTATATATAGTTAGTTTCATGTTTAATTTGGGGATTTTTCTAACGGTAGATCATGAAACATTATCAAGTTTCGTGAGTTCAAAGCCAAAATCACAGCATGTTCCGCGTTAGTTAACTTCTTGTTTAATTTTTCGATTTTTCTAACGGTTGATCGGAACGGTAAAATTTAACAGGAAATTAACTAACGCTGAGTATGCTGTGATTTTCATAAACAAATTGCATTTATGACAGTTTTAACCGTGTGTGTGTTATGTATGCGTGTGTATGGGCGCCTTCTTCTAACAAAAAACGTTTTGTTTGTGGTAGGTTATTGACTTTATTTTTGTTTTAAAACATGCTGAAAAAAATTTCAACTTTTGCATCTTAATCACTATTGAATAAAAATACTTTAAAAACACTTAATCAGCCAATGTAATTGTTTTTCTTAGTAAATTAACTATTTTTTATGGTTTACAACGTACTGGGAAAAAATTGTGATTTTATTCACATGATAAGCATTTATTTTCAGCATAAAGGTTGCTACGTATATTCACCTTCTAAAAAACACAATCTTTAAAAAATTTCAGTAAATTAAAATAGAATCTTAAAAAAAAATAAATAACCTTTTTCAGAGTCGGATAAAAAACCCGACTTCGTCCCCTAAAAAATTCCGACTCCGGCGAAAATCTCCGAATCCGAGACTATGATTTCAACGCAACAAGCAGTTTCGGCCATTATGATGCAAATAGACAAGTTCTACGCCAAAGGCATAGAACTTGTGTATTTACTTATAATCTCAATAAACTATGAAAAAATTAAAAAGCTTAATATGTTCTGTTTTAAAATTATCTTATTTTTTCAGACTTTTGAATCCTTGCGTGAGCTCGTCAGACATCATTCAACTAATTCTCTTGAAATAATAGGTAATGGATCAGTGCCATTGTTCCTCACTTGTTTCCCGTCAAAATGAATTACCAATATACAGTTTATTTCATCGTTCAGCGGTTACATTATGAAAAGCGTTTATGTTAATAAAATTTTATCCGATAAAAATAAAGAACAAGCTGGTGAAAATTTATTACAAAGTTAAATAATTATGAAGTGCATTTAGTCTACCTTCTGTGCAAATTTATAAAGTTGAAAATATTAAAATCTTTGATGAATTCAAAAACAATGTAAAACATTTGGGAGTAATGTCTGTCAGGTCAAGATGTGTACAACAATCGCTGATAATGTGGGTAGATTTCTGTATCCGGCACAAGCAGTGAAAAATCTAGCTGAACGAACGTCTGAAATTCGTTTTGTAGGATATCTTCTCTGTGAAGTTTGAAAACATCTTCTATAACCTGGCAAAGCAAATGAAACAATGTAAAATATAATAATTTTCGTATAAATTTTAAACTGGTAACTAACCTGGATAAGCTTGGACAATTCTTGATGTTTAATGTCATTCAGTTTGGCAGACAAGATAAGGCAAGCGCATGCAATATGTTTTCTTTTTGCTTTTGTCATGTAACCCTGCAAAATAAATTTACTCATTGAATATTTCAAAATTAAACCAATATGAATATTAAACAAACCTTAAGAATAATCTTCTCAAAATAAACGTATGCTTGGGCAACATCCCAGAAATCAAGTCCACACTGTTAACAAAAATTAAGAGCTTTAAAATTGTTTCAACTTATACAGAAATATGATTAATACTTTTGTATGTGCAATTTTTTTCATATCTCTTTTCAAACTTCTCAATTTGCTTAATGTTAGTGGTATGTTTGGAAATTTTTCTTTAAATTTTTCATTCAATTCTTTTTTTAAATCACTAGGCTTCGCGTAGTCTATTATTGATGTCTGCAAATATAAGTGAACAAAACCTTTTAGCAAATTAAAAATCTGCAGATGGCCGTTGAATATACCATATATGACGGGAATGTCAGCAAGGTCCGGTGCTTGCCGGACCTCAACTCCGGGTCATCTAACAAATTAGGGTCGTACAATATTTCTTCAGTCAATGGCATCGTTTCTAGAAAGATTTTGCAAAAAACCTATTGAATATGTTACAATAAAATAATTTCATTTAAAAAACTGCTCATTTACTTTATAGACGTGAACACGATGAAAATTTAACTTTATTAATTAGTTTATAAAGGAAATATTCTAGAAAAGTTTCAATAAAAAATATATAAAAATGATCATACATAACAGAGAGAATAAAATATAAACGCAGAACTGTAAAAATAACTTAGTGTATTTTTGAAGTATACGGGAACGATCATTTTTATTCATGTGCAAAAAGAATTAACTACAAAAAAGATTTTTCACAAAAACTTTAAAATAAACTCAAACATGCAAATAAATAAAAATGAAAAGTAATATTTAAAATTTTGTATTTGTACAAAAATATTGAAACTGGTTTGTCTTGTTAAACTGCTTGTTCGTAACTCACAGATGATCAGTAATAATTGCTGATGGATTGTAATAATTGCTCGTGAGGATTGGCATTGCCTTCTTTGTAGAGATGGATGGAATAGCATATTCATTTCAGTTTACTTCTACATCAACAATTCCTATTTCCCATCTACCATGCTATTCAGTGGCCAATCTCCTTCTCGTTCTCCATTTCCATTCCCTCTCATTCCTTAACAATAAATATCTGGTTCGGAGCATTTATGCATGGCGAAAAAGTTAATTCAATAACACAACACACGACAAATCGCATGAGTTTTTTTTTTAAATATAGCTATAATAAACACTGTTAGCTAACAAGATTTTTAAATTCTACCCTCAACGTTAAAATCATTCATACAACAAGGCAAAACACACTGAGATTGTTACGTTATAACAATTAGCTTTTCTTTCAGTAATGTTTTTATTTGTCCGTATTAATGTCAGTTAGCATTAAATTACAATTCATTTTAAGGGTATAATCTGGATCACACATGTTTGAAATCTTCCAACTATTCTTGCTATATAGAATCACTTTCTAGCTAACAATTGATGTGATTTCAAGCGTAAACGTTTACACAAACACAAATTTGTTAATGAATGTTTCTAACAACTTTCCCATTTCTGACTGTCATCTCAGCCTCAATGAATTATTAATACTTCCCTGAAACACTTCTCAGCCAAAATAAATAATTATCCCGCTCCAGTGTTCCCACCAGCTATTCCTATTTCACCATTTTACGAAGGGAATGCACTGAATTAATTACTTACCCAAATTTTAGGATATAAATGTTTTTCTTTAATTAATTTGTTGAAGGGCAGTATCGATCGAATTTATAGTATAAAAAAGGGAAAAGCTGCAACAAAATATAATAAAAGAGAATAGCAAACTCAAAAAGTAAAATTAATCGATAGAATATAGTTTTAGGTTTGTGAGCATCCAAGGAAATGCGGCTACCATAGCCTATCAATACCTCTTGGGAACATCGCTGATGTTTCTTTATTTTTAACGACCTGGTTTCCCGCTGAATTTGATAAACTTCGTTTAAAAGACGACAGTTCTCTATTCAAAAACGAAGGTTTTCCTGGATTCAGACATCAGCCAGCAGATAAATTTGAACAATTCATGATTCATGAAAACTAATACTAAAAATGAAGCGTTGAATTCTCCAAAACAGAAAAAAATGTTCTGATTAAAATATGTAAAAAGTACATTGTACTTCTTTATATTTATCCCGAACAAATGCGAAAAAACATCAACATTTGATGTATCAAATGAATGTTACTCATGCATTTTGCAGCCGCTGACTTTACAAATCTTACTTAGGTACAACCATTAAATCATTAGATGAAATTTGAAACGGAAACGAATTATTTTTTACTGATTGTGATTGACTGCATCAACAGATATGCATTCAAATTTGGATGTTAATTACATTTATAAATTTACTAAACTGGTAGGGTTTTGAAATGCAGTAAAAAGCAATTTATACAAAATAGTTTACGAATTTTAAGCGTATGTAACAATGTATCCGGCGTGGGCGCTTACGTGACCTGCATGTGCTACAATAAGTTTAAGATAAAAAAAAACTTAAAACCAATTTAAATTTTAAAAAATCTATCAAAATGAAATTTATTGTTACCAGGAGAAGAGTGAGTTGAATCAGAAAGATTGATGATGACGTGCCAAACAGGCCTCGTTATGGTTGCTTTACTTGGAATCAATAAATGAGCATAAGATGTGTACTTGAAACAAGTTGTATCAATTTATTCATATTAAAAATTTGTCATTCAAGTAAAAAAATAAAACAAACGAGCACCTGGTCACTCGAGGAGCCCATACTGCTTTCATTAAAAAGTCCTTGATTGTCTACCACTGATGAGATTGCTTGAGATTTAGTAAACTGTTCTTTACTAAAAACATATTATGCATTAAGAAATTTAAAACGCCAAAACAAACGTCGCTATGTTAAAAATATGAAGAAATATAACCTGGCTACCGAGCTCTTATAAGGAATATTTGAAAAAATTATAAAAGGTGACTTTCTGATTGACAGCATGAAGACTCTGTAAAAATAAATGCTTAAATAGTTAATTGGAATGACACATAAATGAAATTGTCGACCTCTTTCTCAAAGGACCCAATTTGGAGCGTCTTTGTAAAGAAAAGTTTGAAGTTTTATGCGTGAGATAAGATGAATGAGCTTTAACAAACGAACTTTCAGAACTTGTGGAACTCAATTGAGGTGACGATCTGTCAGGCAGATTGGCGTAAGCTGACAAATTTATAAAGTTATCATTTAAAATCATTAAAATTGCTGCAGTTTAATAGAAATTAAAAAAATGGTTGTCGTTATTTAACAAATTTTAAAAATCTAAAATTCCTAAACAGTACAAACCATAAATATTATTCCCCACACCCCAAGTATAAATGCAATGCATGCAAATATAGAAAACAAATAAATAAATAATCTTATAATCTTAAACTGTATGTTCGTGTCAGCTGAAAACATTGAAAATACAATAAAAAATGACTATATCAAAGTTATGCGACAGTTTCAAAATCTAAATGATTTTTTTTTAATGTTCAAAGAAACATGCGTTATTTTTATTTTTAAAAATTTAATGTAAAAATTCTGCTGGAATATATCATAAAGAAATAGAACTTAATTTACTTAAAATGTCGTTGCTTTGTTTGACTTTGGCTGAAACGTTCGGATCCTCAGACACTGATACTGATACATAGAGCTTTCTTTTTGATGGATTTGAAAAAGCTTCCATCGCTGAAGTGTTGCTCTGACACCTGAGACGTTATGCAATGCAGTTAGATTGAGTATTAGATTGAAATATAACTTCATTAAAAATTATAAATTAGCAGATAAAAAGAAAAATTGAATTAGGCTGAATGACAGTTTTGTAGGTTGATGATTTCCGTAAATTGCAGTATAATTTTTCACTCACAGTAAACAAATAGTTGTCACAAAATTGATTTTAAAAAATATTGCTTTAATTACAATTTGTGCATCTGTGTGTCAGTTTAATTTTTATCATCATTATTGAAAAATACCTCGGAATTGGAATACTTCCAGCAGTTTTGATTCTTTCAAAAAAATTCTCATAGTTCATATTTCCATATCTATCATGACATTTTTCATATAAAGTGTCTATGTCTGAACTGACACCTGGGCATATTGATGCTATATTCAAATCGTTAGCTTTGACGCGTTCTGATCCCAAACTTTTATAATTCATAAATATTGCTGCAGCTTCATGTTCTGATGAAATAATGTTTTGTTTGCTGTTGATATTATGGATAGGTTTGTTTAATAATCTTAATCTGCCATAAAGAGTGTCTTGATGGCTCCCATCTAAAGAAATATTTGATAGAAAAGATTGTGCTTCAATACGAAGACGCTGCCTTTCTTCATCAGTTTTGAAACTTTTTGCCATTTTGTCAGTAACTTCTCAAATTGCAAATAGTTTGTTTCAACCGTAAACATCTTCACAGCAAATCCAACTTCATCTCAAAAAAACAACGCAACCTTGAAAATATATTAAATTCGCCAATCAACATCAAAAATTTTAAATACACTAATTTCGTGTTTAAAAATTGATAAAAAGAACAAATTGTAAAAAAAGTATAAAAATATAATGTAAAACTTCACTCATTAAAACAACGCAACCTTGAAAATATATTAAATTCGCCAATCAACATCAAAAATTTTAAATAAACTAATTTCGTGTTTAAAAATTGATAAAAAGAACAAATTGTAAAAAAAGTATAAAAATATAATGTAAAACTTCACTCATTAAAACAACGCAACCTTGAAAATATATTAAATTCGCCAATCAACATCAAAAATTTTAAATAAACTAATTTCGTGTTTAAAAATTGATAAAAAGAACAAATTGTAAAAAAAAGTATAAAAATATAATGTAAAACTTTACTCATTTATATCATATCATATCATAATATAAGTATTTATATTTGGTGCTTTATAAGTCCGGCCAAATAAATGAATTTAATTATCTTGGCACTGAAAGGAAAAAAAATTGGGAGCTCGCCATCTTAAGATAAAATTGTTCATAAGTTAATTTTGTCGGTATCAGATAAAAACCTAAAAACATGCTAGAACTGGGATTTATAGGCGAGACGCATTTGGTGATAAATGGACAGTGCGACAAATGGACAAACATTAGTAGTTATCAGAATAAAGTGAAAAATTTCAGGCACATGATTATCGGCAGTATATCCTTTCAAAGTCGTCAACAAAGTCGGATGTTATTTCAGATCGGAAATTGATTACCGTTTGGAACAAGTTGAGGTGATTTCAGACGAGGAATTCAAACCAACTATAATACCTTTACCCTTGAAATCATGTTCTCTTGATTCAGCTCTGAAGAATTTGCTCCAATTTTTACTGCAGTTGGCCAATTGATTGCAGTTGATTCACGAGTATTTACATACACTATGTGTTTGTAGTAGTAGTAATAATGCGCCCCAACCACTTGTCATGGTGCTATATAAAATGACATTATAATTATTATGAATTCCAAAAAAACCAGGTCTACC